TGAAAATAAAGATGCCAGGGCTCGGACTGGCAGCACGGGTGTCTGACTGCAGGGCAGGGAGGTGCTGGCGGTGCTGAGCAACACGCGGGCAGGGGGAGGGGCAGGGGTGGCCGCGGCAACCTGGTGCCTCAAGAGTTAAGATGCGAGCGGGCGGCTGGGCCAGCTGCCGCCCTTGCTGCCCTGGGGAGGCAGGTGGCTGCTGCCCGTCACCATGTCCCAAGAGCTACGGAGGCAGGAGGATGAGCGAGGCGCGCTGCTGTCCATCTGCCCTGCGTGGGCACGGCGCTTTGGCACGGAGCGGCTCATCCCTCGCTGAGCCGTGCCATGGGATTCGGAGCTCGCAGGGACAGAGGCCGCGTGCTGGTTGGAGCCGTGCCGGGCTCTGCTCCATGCTGTCCTGCGTGCCACCTGGGCACAGCGCGGGGAAGGGAAGCGCGGCACAGGGAAGGGCTCCGTGCATCCTGCCGCGGGCTCCAGCTGGGCCTGGGCTGGGGCTGCCGACAGTGGTGCCAGGGCAGGGTGCCTGCTGCCTGCACGGCCCAGGTGACATCTCCAGAGCATCCACACGCTGGAGGTGTGGAGATGGCACAGCCCTCTCCCGGGTGCCCATAGGTCTGACCACGACCGTCGGGAGGAGAGCCCCGGGAGCAGGAGCAGGCTGAGCTCAGTGGCAGCCAGGCTAGGGAGGCGCCCGGACGCAGACCCCCTCCCTGGCCGCGTTCAGGCCGCTTGCTGTGCTTTGCCATGCCGGGTCTGGGGTGCGTGGCAAGGACGCAGTGGCTCGGTGTCCTTGGTCCCCACTCGCTGCGTGCCCGCATGCTGCTAGGAGCCAGCAGCTGTCTCCGTGGGACTGTGACTGCTGTCAAAGGGCAGGCAGAGCCCAGAAGTGACAGCCGGTGCCATCCGCAGCTCGCCGGCTGTGTGCAAACAAGATGACTAACAAGTAGCAGCAACAGGGAGCGGGGAACACGGCGTTGCTTGGGGCCGGGGACCTGCTGCTACTGTTGGAGTAATGCTGTCCAAAAGGACTGTCCCCAGCAGCCTGATGAGAAGGGGAGCATCGCTCATCTCCGGAGGAGCACAGGTACCCTGGAGACACCCCCGGGAAGCTCGGGAGCAGGGAGGGCAGCCGGAGCTGTGGAGCAGGGATGAGGGGCTCTGCTGGGGCTGCAGGAGCTCTGCTGGGGCTATGGGGGCTCTGCCGGGGCTATGGGGACTCTGCCGGGGCCCAGGGCTGCAGGAGCTCTGCTGGGGCTATGGGGGCTCTGCCGGGGCTATGGGGACTCTGCCGGGGCCACTCAAGGCACAGGAGCAGGCGGCTTCACTTGCTGCTCCTCGGGGACTGCCTCTGTTCAGCAAGTGCCAGCAAGAAGGGGAAAGGGGTGTAAACCTGGCGTGGGTCCTAGGGGTGTCCCTGGCAGGTGTCCTACGTCAGCCAGAGGACAGACTGGCCTCTGGCCTTGGGCTTGCAGGGGCTCTCTTGGACCTCTGCTTGCTCCAGCACATTTGGGGCATTCGCATCAGCTTGGACATCATTGCTGGGTTTCCCTGTGGCTTTTCCTCAATTTGCTGCTTCTCTTTCATGCCTCTCCCCTCCTCAGCAGATAAGGAAGCTGCTGGTGGAGAAGATGGTGACAGTGCTTGTGGCAGCACTTTTATCTAAGGGACAGAGACAAATAATTTTTGCTGCTCAGGTGCAGGAGCTGCTGGCTTAGCCCTCAGGGGGAATGGCAAACCAAATGGGGCTGAACACCACGCACGGCCTAGAGGAACCCTCTGTCTCAGAGCAGTCCACGTTCCAGGAGGTGGTGGGTCTTCTCTGCATGATCCTGCTCACTGTCACTGCCCTGGTGGCCAACACTGTGGTGATGATCGTCATTCTCAAAACTCCTCTTCTCAGGAAGTTCATCTTTGTCTGTCATCTCTGCCTGGTTGATCTTCTTTCTGCCATCTTCCTCATGCCCCTGGGGATCATCTCGAGCTCCTCCTGCTTCAACAAGGTCATCTACAGTATTGCTGAGTGCCAGACCTTGATATTCCTGAATGTCTGCTTCATCAGCGCCTCTATCCTCACCATCTCCATCATCAGCGTGGAGCGGTACTACTACATTGTCCACCCTATGAGGTATGAGGTCAAGATGACCATCAGGCTGGCTGTGGCTGGAGTGGTCTTCATTTGGGTCAAATCAGCCCTCATGACCATCTTGGCACTGGTGGGCTGGCCAGAGGCCAACGGGGCCACCAGCGCCAGCCGCTGCACAGTCGGAGCCCACAAGAAGGTCTTTGTGGTCATCTTCAGCATTGCCTGCTTCATCCTGCCCACCATCATCATCTTTGCTGTCTACTGCAGTATCTACCGTGTGGCGCGGATGGCCTCCCTGCAGCAGGTGCCTGCACCAGCACGGGCAGCTGCACCCAGGCCCCGATCTGACTCCATTGCCAGCCAATTGACCATCATCACCACCAGGAACCTGCCGCTGCCCAGGATGACTCCAGAGCGCTTTCTGGGAGGTAACAAGGCGATTCTCACCTTGCTCCTCATTGTGGGACAGTTCTTGTGCTGCTGGCTGCCCTTTTTTGCTTTCCACTTGCACTCCTCTGTCACTGCTGACACGGGGGGTGAGGTGCATGGGGAGATGGTGGTCACCTGGCTCGCCTACTCCTCCTTTGCCATCAACCCCTTCTTCTACGGGCTGCTTAATCGCCAGATCCGAGAGGAGCTGGCCCGGTTTGGGCGCAGCTGTCTCAACCGGCCGCTGGGACAGGAGCTGTGTCTCTCAGTCTCGGAGGCCTCAATCCAGGAGAATTTCCTGCAGTTCCTCCAGAGAGCAACGTGCACGCTGGAGACCCGCTCTAGCTGCATCAGCTCCAGCCCCAGGAACAGGCTGGACCAGACCAGGACGGATTTTCCCATCCCAGGTCAAGTGCCTGAGGAGAGCAGCTGAGGGAGCAGGGAGCCCTGTTCTGCCATGCAGGGCGGGAGGGCAGGGAGCCCGAACAGACTGGTTTCATCCCATCATGGGTTTGGAAGGGTCCTTGTCTGGGCTTTGCCCTCCTCTCCAAGCTTATTGCAGAGGAAGGAGCCTGCTGGTTCTCTTCACCTGGGAGAAGGCAGCAGATTTGGGAAGTCTCCATCTCCCAAGGCTTTTCCTTGTGCTGGGACTATCTCTGGCGTCACCAGCGCAGCCTGGACAGGCTCCTTGGGCCGTGGGGAGGACAAGCTGGCCAGCTGCAGGGCTCTAATACGAGGGCGGAGGGATGGGGTCCCTGCGCTTGGCATTGACCTAGCGGGACCCCTGTGAGGGCTGCCCTCAGGGAAGGAGGGGGGCTCCTCGCAGCCAGCCCAGGAGCGACGGCCCCAGGTAACACCACTAACCCCAAGAACGCCAGCGCGGCGCGGGGAAGGCGCCAGCGCGGAGCCCGCTGCCCTCAGGCCGCCTCTAACCCTCCACTAATACCCGGGGCGAGGAGCTCACATAACCAAGAGGAGCTCCCAGGGGCCTGCGGCGCTGTCCACATCTGTGATTTCCCCATCACCCAGGGACATGAGATGCGGGGAGCTGGCGGCGAGGGTG